CCTACGATACATTAAGTTGTATAGAAATAATTCAATATTCAACAATACTCAGACTCATATTCCCATTCATCAAGAAGTGTTAATAATAGAACAGCTTCACAATGAGATTATGAAATTGTAGAATTGTTTAGACTGGAAATTACCCTTAGGATCATCCTGTCCAATGCTAACCCAGCACTGCCAAGTCCATCATTAAACCATGTCCCCAAGTGCCACATTTACACAGCTTTTAAGTACCTCCAGGGATGGTGATTCCACTATTTCCCTGGGCAGCAATTATTCAGTGAATAATTTGTTTCCTAATATCCAGTCTAAATCTTTCCTGGTGCAACTTGAGGCCATTTCCTGTTGTCCTGTCCGTGGTTACTGGGGAGGAGGGACTGACCCTCACTCTCTATAACCCCCTTTCAGGGGGACAGAGAGGTCTTCCCTGAGCCTCCTTTTCTCCAGGCTAAAACCCCCAGCTCCCTCAGCTGCCACTCACAGGACTTGTGCTCCAGACCCTTTCCCAGTTCCCATTTCCCTTCTCTGGACATGGTCCAGCACCTCAACATCTTCCCTGTAGTGAGGGGCTCAGAACTGGACACAGGATTTGGGGTGTGGCTTCACCAGTGCCCAGTAGAGGGGATCAATCCCTGCCCTGGTCCTGCTGGCCACATTATTTGTTGCTGATCCAGGCCAGGCTGCCAGTGCCCTTCTTGGCCACGTGGGCACAGCTGGCTCACTAAGGACTGAAGATCTTCCTTATTCCACCTACATTGATATATTTCTCTGCTACTTGGTCAAGTTCCTTAAACTTTTGGTTTTCCCATTTTATGCATCTACGAAGTAGGGCACAGAATCTCACAGGGATGCCCGAGAAATTTTATTTTATGAATATTTTAAAAGCATTTTAACATTCTTGGGTTGAAAACAAATCATTGCAAATAATCATCTAATTGCTTAAATTCTCAAATTTGGTATCCTTGGTGCTGCAAGTAAACATTTCCTTATTGAATCATTGAAATAATATTTTCTGTAAATAAAATCTTCAATCAACAGACCCCAAGTTTATGGTGGGGTTTTTTTTCTTCTTTAGCAACATTATGCAATATTTTCAAGGTGAAATCAATGGGCTAAATGTAAAGGCCAGATACACTCTTTTTTTTCTAAAACCACCCACTGTAAACTCTAAATCTGAACTGAATCTCACAAGGTAAAGAGTTCAGGTAACAGAAGGAAAAAAGACATTGCATATGATGGTAAACTTTTCTTCGTTCCCTTTTAGAAGTTTCTTGCAGGGCTTGCTTGTTTTAAAACAACCAACCAAGCAACATAGGAGTTCTTATAGATGCAAGAAGAGGTTTCAACCAAGAATTCATTATGCCTACCACAATAAAAGAGAAAGGAAAAAACCAAAGCAAAGTCAGGTGAGAGGACTTATTAGTTAGCTGCACATGAAAACAGCGAGCTCTTTTCTATTCAAACAGGAAATGTATATTTACAGAATAAAAATATCACAAGAATGAATGATAATCACATTTTAACAGTGTCTGGAGATTTAGGTTAATAAGCAAGGTATCATTTATACATGTAACGTTGCTTGTTGTAAAGTGAACTGCTAATTTGTCAACCCTATTTTGGAATAAGACAATGCGAATTCATAGGTCAGTTCCATACAGGACTGCACATTAATCACATTAATTTTTTTAATCTTAACAACAAATGTCCTTTGGATGCATATGGGGTTGGTTTGGGGTTATATTCCTCATCTTGGAAAGTCTTTTGAAACATCTGTTTGGCTACAGATAATTCTGTAGGGGAAACAAGGTGGCAAGGAAAAGGCAAAGCATACACACCAGTGGAAGCACCGTGAACCGTTCTCAACAGGTGTTTAAAGAGCTTATTAAAAATACACATAACATCTGAGGAGAACAAAACAAAAAAAAGAGCACAAGTTGTAGGACCATGTTTGAGATGTCACCTGGAATTGAGGAGGCAGTTACACCAATGTAGATCTAATCCCAACCTCTCTGTAAATAGCCTCTTAATGTAGAAATAGTTTAGTTTTACAGACCAGAAGTCAATTTCATGTTTATATACTCCATAAAACATAGTTGCTCTACAGACTTTGAAAATTCTCTGTAGAAGGAATTCCCTTTGAGGAGGAGAGAGAATTTTTCTGGTGAAAGCAGGAGAATTCCCTTTTAGTTTTACCTTACAGAAGGTTGTATAAAATTCCTTTCCCTCCATCCCATCTCTAGCTAGAGATTTCAGAACACAGAGCAAGTCCCACACATGACATATCTTACCACTCAGCAAAACAACTTGAAACTGGCAAAATGCTAATCCTGGCACCAGATTCTCCAGCCTATATTCAGACACAGACACAGCCAATACATTAAATTCATATATATCTATACATGTATTTACATATTAGTCCGCATGAATCCTCTGCACACAGTTGATCACTGTTCTGTGGCAATAGATAGTAGCTCAGAGAGACAAAAGGTGCGTACGAGGTGGAGATTAAACTTCCCTGGGCTTTTGTGACCTGCTTTTCTGAGCAAATGGAAAAAGGTTAGTCCACATAACCATCCACTGAGGTTTGAACTAAAAAATGTGATTTGTTCTGCAAAGGCCAGACATGCCTATGCAGCGTGGTACCATTTGGAAAAAATTATAACTTTGCAGCTGAGACCCATCCACTTTGGAGCAAAGTTACACACGTGACTTTGAATTTTGTCCTTGTAACTTTGCCTGTAATCAGGACTAGAAACTACATATCAAAGCCAGTCTGAAAAGTTGATCCCTACTGTTTTGTGGCTTCTAGGTCCTGGTTCCTAGGCAAGACCTGCATGTCTAATCTTAGCAAGTGTATTCATGCCCTGACTGTAATAAAATTCCCTCTCATTCAGTTCCTTTTGTTGATTTTACCACCAGAGGAGATAATCCAGCTCCATGGTTTATCTCTTCTTTTTGCTTGTGGAGGTTTTCAGGCATCACAGAAGTTAGCACTTCAATAAAGAGTGAGCTTCACTGATGTTTTCTATGTATCATCTTTAGAGTATTGTAGCTAGATGTCTAATCTGCTTTGTAAGAAACCCAGTAATAATGGTGAGAAAGTGATCAATTTTATTGGTATTTCAAAACATAAAAAGAGAAAAACAGTAAATCCATCAACAGTGTGGCAAAGAATATTGGACAGAAGAGCACACCTGTAATAACACAACTGCAGCTTCCTAATGCAAGAGACACACAAAATAAAAATTAAAATATGTATGGAGTTATAAAAGCATTTACATTTTTTTAGATTCTTATTGTGCCAAGAAAAAATATGTTCTGTGGTGTTCACATACTCTTTGAATAGAGAGGGACATAATTCTCTCTCTCAGGATTTTTCCTGGAGAAGGCAGTGAGAAAGCTCAGAGAGAGAAAAGAACGTGCTGCTCCTGTTGTTTGGCACATGTGGAATGTGTTATGGAGATTGTTTACTGAAAGAGTAAGTCCAGCTGGGTCAAAACTGTGTCGTGACTGTCTGAAAGGGTCATCCGTTTTTCTTTAGTGTAGTAGAGTTTAGTGTAGTATGTACTATAATATAATATAGCTTTCTTAAAAAAAAAAAAGGTGGAAAAAGCTGCTATTTTCACTGCCTTCTCCAGGAAAAATCTTGGGAGAGATAATTATGTCTCTCTCTGTTCAAAGAGTATGTGAATACCACAACAATACTCTGTAATGGTTGAGAATAATTTGGAAAAAAGTTTAAATTGCATCCATTTCAGCACATTTGTTGGCCATTTCAATGAAAAGTGAATTTGACTTGAGCAACCTCAAGAACACTGAGAAGATGCCTTGGGAAACCATGGAACATGGGCTGCAGCACATTTAGGCTGTGTGAATGGGTTTATTGGACTCCTTAGGGAGAGGTGGTGACAAATGCAAAAGAAAAATCATAGAATCACAGAATGGTTTGGGTTGGAAGGGACCTCAAAGATGATCTAGCTCCAACCTCTCTGCCATGAGAAAGGATGCCTTTCACTGCACCAGCTTGCTCAAAGCCCCGTTCCGCCAGGCCTGGAACACTTCCAGGGATGGGGCAGGCACAGCTTCTCCGGGCAACCTGTGCCTCACCATCCTCATAGGGAAGAATTTCGTCCCAATATCCTATCTATCTATCTAACTATCTATCTAGCTATCGATCTATCTATCTATCTATCTATCTATCTATCTATCCAACACCTACTCTTACTTTGAATCCACATCTATCTATCTATCTATCTATCTATCTATCTATCTATCTATCTAACACCTACTCTCACTTTGAATCCAACCCATGTTCTATCACTACATGCCCTTTTAAAGCAGTTCCGCCAACAAATGACAGGGATGCGCAGTTCTCTGTCCCGCGGGATGGATTTCGGGCTCAGGGCCGTACAGAAGCAGCATTTTTAGCGTTTTAACGCCGTGACTGAGCCACGTAAAGCCGGGGGAGGGCTGGCGGGCAGCTCCGCGGGTGCGCCTGAGGGGCGGGCGGCCCTTGGGCGACCACCAGAAGGGCAGCGCTACCCAACGGGAAACCTGCGCCTCCAAATCCTCCCTTTCCCAGCCGCCGCTCCCACCCTTCCCACGGCCGCTCCCGCCCCGCGCCGGACGCGCTCCGAGCTGGCGCCGCCCCCGCGCTCCGCCGCGCTCCACGGCCGGGCCGCCAGCGCCGCTCCCGCCGGATCCGCTGCGGCTGCTTCCCCCGCCGGGGAGCCGAGGCTGCCGCGGTGCTGCTGCTGCCCCCGCTGCGGGAGCAGAGCCGCGCTGCCGGAATAGGCGCTGCGGCCCCGCCGGCGCTGCCCGCGGAGCCAGCAGGGCAGGGGCTGGGCAGGGGACCCGCGCATTGTGCGAGCCCGCATGGGCACGGCGCGGGGGCGCGGCCGCGGGGCTCCTGCGAGCCTCTCGCTCGGCGCCCGGCAGCGCCCGTAGCCGGGGGGCGCCGCGCTCGGCCGTGAGGGATGCTTTTGTGCGCGGCCGCGGCGCCGCGGCTGCGGTGACGGGGCAGGTCGGGCGCCGCGCTCAGCCGCAGCCCTCCCGGCGACAGCGGCCGGGCGCGATGCTCTTTTAGGCGGCCCGAGCCCTTGCGAGCGCGGCGGGCAGGCGTAGCACCCCGTAGCGGAGCTGGGAGCGCGGGCGGGCGGCTCCCCATGGCGAGCAGCCGGAGCATCGAGCTGGAGCACTTCGAGGAGCGGGACAAGCGGCAGCAGCGCTCCGGGCCGCGGCGCGGAGGCTCCGGGTCCGGCGGCGGCGCGGGGCCGCGGGGCAATGGGCTGGTGCCCAGCCCGGCGCACAGCGCGCACTGCAGCCTCTACCGCACCCGCACCCTGCAGGCGCTCAGCTCCGAGAAGAAGGCGCGCAAAGCCCGCTTCTACCGCAACGGGGACAGGTACTTCAAGGGCTTGGTGTACGCCATCTCCCCCGACCGCTTCCGCTCCTTCGACGCCCTCCTGGTGGAGCTCACCCGCTCTCTGTCGGACAACGTGAACCTGCCCCAGGGCGTCCGCACCATCTACACCATCGATGGCAGCAAGAAGCTCACCAGCCTGGACGAGCTGGTGGAAGGTGAGGAGGGTGCCGGAGTCCGGCTGGAGGTGGCCGTGGGGCCTGGTGGTGTGGGCTGTGGGCACTGCCTGGGGCGAGCTTCCCAGTCCGCACCAGGATCAAAGCACTTTGTGAAAACTGACGGCCACAGAACCCGTGAGGGCAAGTAGCCGTTGTTGTGAGGGGCGGTAGGGCCTCGTTTTCCCTGTGTGGACCTTCCACTCCTCCCATCACCTTGAGCGCTGCCATCTGCATGCGCTGGGCTTGACTCCAGTGGTAGTTAAGCAGTAGGTGCCCTTTTCATCTGGAAGAACTGTGAAGTTCTTGGTTGCTTTCCATTTGTAATAGAGGGAAATGCTGTAATTTGGTTCTCTGAGTGTCATTGTTGACTCTCAGTGGCTTCAGTCTTCAGAAAAGAAGCCCCAGTGCTGTGAAAAAAGGGTATCTATATCCTACCATTTATTAAAACTAACAGGTGTAATGCCCTAGTTTCAAATCCATATTAACAGAGGGAATTATCTACCTTGCCTGACTTTCAAAAGCATGTTATGGAATCAGATGTATTTCAGAGTTGTTCCTAAGCAGCTTTTCATAATGGGACTTAGCTGCTGAAGTTATGTAGACCTTACAAATCTGAACAGAGCAGCTCTTGACCATCTCAAAATGGGACCAGAAATATTGTTTTGTGAATGACACCTATGCCCCACGTTTGTGGGGAGTGATAATTGTCGGAATGAGGGGCAGAATTCCCCAGTCTTTTCATGTGATGTCTTAAAATACAGTTTGAGCTCAGCATTGCCTGCTTCCCAAATGCACGGGTTATGTTGTGCACGCTGAGAGGTTTGTAATGAATTTGCACTTGATGGTTCTCAGGTATTTAATAGATCAGCTACCGCAGTCTTGCACCTTGTGACTCTGTGTGCTAGGTGTAGCTGGTTTGCAGTAATGAAGAACTGGGATTTTTTGTAGGCCTTCCAATGCCTCTTACTTCCTAAGGCTTTCAGTTTCCTATCCTTTGAGCTTTGGTTTGGAAGCTTTCCTTTTCAAAGCAGTGCTGAATCACACCTGGAGAATTGGATGAGAAAGGGAACCTGAAGACCTTTATCTAATCCACCAGTAAGGACGTTGGGAGTTAGGGACCAGCTGCTTCACAACATGGAAGAGAAAGGGGGGGCTGCAGAATCTGCTGTGCCAAATGGGTCTCCCTCGGGAAAGGTGTGCATGGAAGGGCACTTCCTGATAGTAACAGAGTGCTGAGGACTTACCTGATCTACTATGAGGCTGTTTTACATTGACAACCGAAGAAGTATGAAGTGGTTGTAGAGTGAAATGCTGACCTTGTGGTGAAGTAAGAAAGAAAAACTTTCATCATTTGGTGGTTAATTTAAAGACACCTTTAAAAAATATGCTGAAATGGTCACAGAAGGGAAAGGAGATGAAACTAGCAATGACATGGAGTGGCTTTTGAAATGTTGCATCAGGAATGATATTAGACTTTTATGACTTAAAACAAAGACAGAATTACTTGCTGGACAGCCATATATAGTCTTACAACTATAAATTAATAATTGAAAGCAAAACTTAGTATTTGTCTCTTCAAATACTCAAACCGTAACCTTTGTTGTGGCTCTTTACTGGAAGAATAAAGCAAAATAAATGTCACAGTCAAAATGCCACTTCCATGCTTTCTCAAAGAAATGAAAGGGGAAAAAAAGAACCCCAAGTACTTAGTCATCTATCCAATACAACTCTCAGGAATATTAAGAAAATCCTATAGCACCATAATTGGATTAGTATGTTCTCCAGTTAGCATGCTAAAAACTTCACCAGTGTAAGACTAATCACACAGAGAAAGAGAAGTATATAGAGGAACGAAAGGACAGCAAACAAGTGGTGAATCTATAGTTCCTTGAAATTGAGTTTTTTGCCAGGTGTTTTGCTCTTGAGGTGCTGGAAGGGATTTGATATGGGTTCATTTTCTTTATTTCTCGTGGTTATAGCACAGCAAGTGTGAATTTCTGCTCTCGAGTAAGTGCTCCAACATTGGTGTTGACCTAAAGCTTGAACTGCAGAAGCACCAGAAGTAGCTTTGAATGGTATTTCTTTTTAATATTTTCAGAAAGGAAAATAAAACTGAAGTGCTGTAGTGTGTGCCAGCCGCAGGCTGAGCACCAGACGGGCCATGGCTGCGTGATGCAATACCAAGCTCACTGGTCTCTTGGCTCCTTCCCAGTGCTCCTGAACTGGGACATGGAGTCATAGCAGTTCAGGTTCAGTAGTGGCAGATCTCTGCAGTGAGCAGAAGGTGAGTGCTCAGCACTCCTTGCCAAGCCAGCAAGATCTGCATTAAACCTCTCTCAGCTCCAGCCTGTGTGTGTGTAGCTCTTGGACAGTAACATGTCCCAGTGCAGGGCAAGCTCTTTAGGGCTTATTTGCTATTTATCTATCTGGGATATAGAAGCTGGCAACATCAAATTCTGTACCATAACAAGCTGAGTTGAGTCACTCATAAATGTTTTGGTTTTTTTTTAGTTTGGCTGTATTTGGCAATCTGTTTTACTGCTTGTCATTTTAAGAGAAAAAGAGCTAGTGCATGGACATACTGAGGATATGAAATATTGCTGTTATGGGTTGAGCCAGTTAAAAATTGCAGCAGATCCTGTTTATTAGTCAAAAATAGAAGCTCCATTTTATGAAGCATATTGCTTTTCTTAACTGGATATGACAATCAAAAAAGCATGCTCTGCTGGACCAGCCTAAGGCAAATATAATTTATATTCTCAGCCCCTGTAGATTAGGAAACATTATGAGTTTGACAGTTTTCACTGTTTCCTTAGAATGGGAGGAATTTCATTGTCTGCTCCTGTTCTGTTTGAGCAGGCAGATCCAGAGAGGAGCTGGGGGCTGGGACTATTATGACTTTCTTATCGTTCTCTTTCTTCCAGCTTTACTCTCAGACATAACACTGCTTTTTACTTTAGAATGCAACATTCCGTGTGTAATTTTACACTTGCCCTTCAATATCGAATATTAAAAAGTAGATTAGTTTTTATTTTCTGCCAGAGTTAGCTATTTAAGTGTTTGTCTATTTCCTTCAGTTTCCCTTGAAAATATAGGCTTCCTAAAGCATGACACCATAGTAATAGAACTGTGCAGCTCTTTAGACCCGAGCTGTGTGTTTTATGTGGATATTGGTCGTGCTCTGTCTCTTTGTTTTCATTGCCTTGTTAATGAAGGACGTGGAGAATCCTGACTGTACAGGTCTGCTGCAAAGCTGGGAGTTTTTGTTGGATTTTGGGAGATGAAAGCAAGTGTAGACTTTATTCCTGGAAAGAGAAGTTCTATTTGTTTTGCATCTAATGGGAATCCTTCTAGTTCCCTAGAAAAATGGCTGAGAGTCTTTGTTCATTCAACAACAATGCTTAATTAATACAGTCCTTTATAAAATGGCAGGAGTTTTGTCTGCATGGTTGTGCACACAACCAACAGGCATCTGTAGGGAAGTCTTTGGGCAGGAGGTGGGAAGGTTTGAGGCAGGGCAGTCCTTATGCATGGCCAGGACACATAGCACAGGGCAATATCTGATTTACAGAAATGAGCTCTGCCTCACTATCACAGAGTGAGAGAATGTGTTTTGAAATAAGGTGTTGAACAATCCAAGTTTTTTCTGCCATAGACCATAGCTGTTACTGCAGATTACATTTTAATGCTGCATAAAGCACCTGTTACTTAGGTTGATGTGCACTGTTGTATTAGGTCAAGAATATCTTTTCCCTTGTCAGGACAAGCAGATGGCGACACCAAGTAGGCAGTTTGTATTTTTGCTCATTCCAAAAGGTATGATTGCCCTCCTGTGCTAGAGCCAGAAGCTGTAGTGCTTTAAAAAACAAGAGGCAAATGTAGTAAGGTGAACAAAGAAGGGTAAAAGAGGAGAATGAAAGAAGGATTAAAAAACACTGAAAGCATATTCTTCCAAATACTTCCTCAAATCACTGTAGTGACACTGTTCTGGAGCAATGGGGTGTGGATGTGAAATGCAGAAGTAATTCTTACTTAACTTCCATCCAAGTAAAATAAAATAGTTCCATCACCACCTATCTTATAGTTTCAGGGATGGGGAAATTCTAGTTTACCTGAAAAGGGTTATTTAGTTCCTGTGGAGAAGGCACATGGTGTCAGATGTTTTTGATACCAGGTGGCATTGACTGTTTGAGGGCTTTTACTCTGCCTGAGCAAAGGGTTGAACTTCCAGAGGTCTCTTCCAATCTCAGCTGTTCTGTGATTCTGTGAAAGCCTGTAGGAAGCTGTAATCTGCACCTCTTAATGTCTAAAGCAAATCAAAAGAGAACTAGTAGCAGTTAGTCATCTGCTAAAATCCTGGTTGTTCTCCCAGGTTTTAAAAAGTGCATGGGGAACTCTGAGTGCTGTAGATGAGGAAAGATTGTGACTTTAACAGGGTTATTAAAGGTGATATGAAAGTGAATTGTACGAAACTGATGAGGAGGGAAGTTGCTCAAAGTAAGGAAGGAAAGAGAAATTGAAATAACCCAATCCTTCATAAAAGGGGTTATGTTATTTTTAGATCAGTCATATATGCTGTAAATACACTGTTCCGGAAATCTGCTTGGCTTTGTGTTACAGAACACGGAAAGGGTACTCTGCTGTGTTTCCTAAAGTTAGAAAGAAGGTCAGTAGCCTTAATAACTACCTTGCTGTACTAAATAAGCAGCTTTTGGAAGCTTTGAAGCTAAAGAGTTGCACCCAAAGGAGCTGAGGAACATAAGGTGGATAGGTGAAATCCATGTAGGTACCTGCCCTGTCCTGTGGGATTGACAGGGGAACACATGCCTAAAAAATATGGAAACTGTTTTCCTTCCATAGGGATATTTTTACCTGTCAGCTATATCATTCTCTGTTATGCAGAGTGCCATTTAAAAAGTGATCCTTTATGTCACTTTCAGGAGATCATGCTTATTAACCTTGCAAAAAAACAAGCCAGAAAACCCTATTCAGATATGTTT